TGCCTATAAGATTATGTATATGATACGTTAACGAGAGATAACATCGTCGTATAGTTAAAACCTGATTTTCCTAACTCTTATAATTTCTATATTATACGTTTAAGTATTGAGTGACGATGTGTAAAGTGTGAGTGTGGGGATTTGTGACCTCTATTGTTGTATTTGATTTTTCATTTGATAATTAGTCATGCCATATAGTAGAGCTAAGATTAGACAACGTCATGTGTAATCGGCTTAAAAGTAGTTGATATGAAAATATTGGGTTTAATTAGGAGAGAATAAAGAATAATTTGGCTTTAGAAGGTGTGAAATTTGATTTGGACATTTTAATGAGTGTATTTTTGTAATCCCCTTTTGGATCGCGAAGTTTGTGATTTTATTGTCCATGCTAGATTAAGCAATATTATTATTTAATCTCAATAACATAAAATTATTTATGTATGTTGGGGTGTGTTTGGTAATCAATGTGTTTTTTGTTGTGTTTTTGTAAAAAAACACCATGCCATGATGTTTTTTTTTCTAATGTGTTTTGAAAACACTATTTTGGTCAAACTATTTTGACCATTTATATATTGACAGTGAGCGGTGGCGGCAGGCGTTGGCTGACGAGGTGACGGGTGTGGCCGGCCGGACGGTAGTATTCTGCGAACGCGATTGTCGATCAATTTATTACTTGTTTAGTCGACGATTGGCTGTGCGGCTGGCCGACGAACTTAGCGGGGAGCGGCGGGGTGTTCGACTTAGTGACGGGTGGCCGGCGACTACGTGGTGGAACTGGCACTTGCGGAAGGTTCGCGGCGGGCGGTGGTTGGCGAGGGTGGCGGTGGCAGGCAGGCGGGTGGATGAAGGGTGGGCCGATGGCTGAAAGGTCCGGCGGCGAGTCGGGTGAAAAGCGGGCGGCTCTGGTGGCGGGCCGAAACGGGTGTGTTGTTTACGGTGGGTGAGCGAGGGTGGCAGCGGGCGTCGGCAGATAGACCGGTATGGGTGAGCCTAGCGAGAAGGCAGGTGGCGGGTGGCCTAACCAACGGAGCTATGGCGACGGCGGGACGTATTGGTGGGTACCGGTGTGGCGGCGACTGTGTACGGTGCATTGCGATGCTGTTCTCGCATGAGTTTGGAGAGTAAGGAGCTACGTATATTTGCATGCAAGGGCTAACTTATATAGGTAATGGCGGGAATCGGGATATGTCAAGCATTATTGATAGAGTTGAAAACAGCGACGGGTGGAATGAGTGGCTGGTGGCCGGATTGAAGGGCGGCGGCGCATGCCCGAAAGTGGCTCCTGGTGGTGATGGCGTGGGGGGCGACGCGTTTAGAACTTCGTGCGGAAAAGCGACCAGACAGTGCGTTCTGGCGGCAAGCGAACGTATCCGGTAAGTTAAGTTACCGCTGAATACATTTTCATGGGAGGATTAAGCGGGCCTGATGGTGCAGCGGTATGGAGATGGCGGGGTGGCCGAAAGAAGCGTGCCCGGCGAGCGGCGGGTGGCCGGCTAGCGGCCGGTCGAATTTCACTTTTGATCCATTCACTGTACAGATGGGGCGCGGTTTATTGCGGCCTAAGAAGACCTGCGCTGCCCTGGCCTTCTTTTAGAGTGTAGTAGGAAAACGGAGATCATAGTAACAGGCTTTATGCCTGTGTATTGTTTTTTTGAGAAAAGTGTTTAATTTTTAGATTTTGTAAAGGCACAAGTCAAAAAATCGCCCTTGTTGCTAAACGCGTTTATTTGTTTTTGTTGGGAAAAAAAGCAGAAATGACAAAAACACCACAGTTGCCAAATGCTCCCGTAGGAATTTCGAATTGGTTTGCACATGCTTGTACGACATATGTATATGATGAGTAATGTGGTATGTTTATTTTATGCTTATCAGTATCTCGAGTATTTTAAATATTGTGAGCTAAGTTATGAGTTCCATATATGTTCTATTTGGGGGGTTAGTCACCTAGAACTTAAATCAGGAATTGGGATAATCTGTGGGATAAATTTTTAAGGTGTTAGTCACATAGAATTGGGAAATGAGATATTTTTTATAGTGTTAGTCAAGTAGAACTTTTGTAGAACTAGAATTGTATTATTTATTTTGTGTGTTAGTCAAGTAGAATTCTACTTGAATTAGAATTGGGATAATTTATCATAATTATCCCACTAATTTTACTACCTATATATATAGCCATAAGTTCCCCTCTCAAAAATTATCCCACACATTGAAAAGAAACAATTGGGCAAAAAAGTGAACGGTGCTTCCGCGATTTTCCCATCCACGAGATCAGGTAAATTAACTTCAATGCTTTGGATTTTAATTTCAAACTTATTCATCTAATTTTGTGTCTTCATACGTATGAATGGACTCATGGTAGGGGGGGAAAATATATGTGCTTCTACGTATCAATAGTTTTTTTAATGGTTTGGTATTTTAATGGTTTGGTATGTATGCTTCCACGAGATCAGGTAGCAATCAATGCTTTGGTATTTTAATGGTTTTCTTTGTCTCTGTGCTTCTACGTATCAATAGTCCAAGCGGCGGTGAAAATATTTTTTTATCAGATCAATGTCCAATTAATTGATAGTCAGTTAATATTTTAAGAATAAAATTAATAGTTTTTGAAATTAATATACAAATTCTCAACTACACCATTTAATCCTTGTGAAAAAACAAGAACGTCCTCGTACGTCTTAAGATACACCGATTATCCAATAAATAAAAATCACTAGATAATTCTTTCTGTTTGATAAAAAAAATTATTTAATTTATACGGGTCTAAATTTGATCCTCTCATCGGATCCACATGCTGAGAAAAGTGGACAAGCCATTACACAAGCTTTTATGATTAGGGTTTATATGAAATTAGGGTTTATGTTGCAATAGACAAAAAATAAGTTTACATGAAATTAGGGTTTATATGATACACAAGCTTTTATGATTAGGGTTTATATGAAATTAGGGTTTATGTTGCAATAGACAAAAATTTCATAATATCTTGTGTATGATATGCAAGCTTACATGATATGCAAGCTTTTATAATTAGAACATGATACTGCTTAAATATATGATATTAAGCTTCCACCATATTTGCACAACAATCAACTAAGTGCTAATAATACTAGCTGAAATATATTAGCATGATCCATGAAATATATTAGCATGATCCATGAATTTACAACTGTTATGATCAAGTTTATGTTGTTGTTTGTGCAACTTCAAGCTCACTTTGTTAACCATCATGTTTAGTCTGTCATCACCAATATTTTAATCCAATTCCATATTTGAGATTTTGAAAAGTTATTTTTGAATTTGTTATAGGATGGACATAAGATCACAGAGTCAGGATCAAGAAGAAATATTTCGAGGTCTAGAAAGTGAGGGACAAAAAAGAGCAAGGATGGATTATATAACATGGACTGAAGCAGAGGCTAACGAATTGCTTAGACTGTTAGTAGAGGAAGTTAAGAATGGAAATAAGCAAGCAAATGGCAGTTTTAAAAAGTATGTGATTCTGAAGAATGTGATACCCCCTCTAGTTGAAAATTTTGGAAAAGATTTTAGATATAATCATGTAATGAACAAGATAAAGCAATGGAAGAGAAAGATTGCACCTGTAGAGATCCTGATGAAAAATAACTCTGCTTTTGGTTGGGACCCTACCACACAGAAATTTACATGTCCCGACGAAGTGTGGAATGGCATTTTAGAGGTTGGTTTATGTCATGTTTCATATATATTAATTTGAACATAATATTAATTATTTTTATATGTCATGTTTTAGGCACGTCCAAATACTCCAAATCTCAAAGATAAACTTTTTAAGAATTTTGAGGATATACTTATGGTATGCGGAGATCATGGCGCTTCTGTTAGGTCCTGATGGCTTGGATGAAGCACGCTTAGAGGAAGTGGTTGGGGAGGGAATACTTGGTGCTGATGCTGAGATGGAATCTCCGGATATAGGAGATGCTACTGTAGAAGTGTAACATGCTACCACCGTTCCCAGTGATAATGTGCCATTTTCTGGTTCTGGACCATGCAATCTGAATAATAGTAAACGAAGGCGTATGTCAATTGGTACTGCAGCCACATCTTCTGCATCTTCCCAATTATCATTGCAAGAGGTAGGAGAGGGAGTTGTCACTGGTACTGCAGCCACATCTTCTGCATCTTCCCAATTATCATTGCAAGAGGTAGGAGAGGGAGTTGTCACTGTAGGTAAAGCTTTTCATGAGTTAGTTGATGAGTTGAGGAAGATAAGAAAAGGTCGAAGTAAAGAATGAGTTGATGCTGTTATGTCTACTTCTGAATTGACTAAGCCACAAAAATGGAATATACTCAGTGACAATATCTCACAGGACATGAAGGATGCCTTTATTGACATGGATGCAAAAGACCGCTATGAGTTTCTACATTTTAGGTTGACCGGTGTGATAATGAATGATGGTAAGGATGAGACTCAAGCCAATTCTGATCCAAATGGTGAAGATTATGATTCTGATTTCTTTGGAGATGTTTAGAGGCAGTAATTTAGAAGTTTAGGATATTTATATGTTTTTTAAGATTTGTTATGGTGTTAGGATTGTGTGGAATTTCATATTGTCAAACTATTTTTCATTGAGTAGGTGGAACTTGGGATAATGTCATGTTTTGGGGTGTCTCGGTTGTGGCCGAGACACTCCTTAGGGGGTGTCTCAGCTATTGGCCGAGACCTGTTCGGGTGTCCCCGGTTCAGCCCGGGGCCGTGCCGTTGTCCCGTCGTTGACTCGCGGTTGATTTGTCGTCCGAACTTAGATTTGAGTGATCCCGGGTGCATTGGAATTCTAACGGCGAGCTATGTGGGCCCCAATGGTTGGATTATCATCACGGGACACGACGGGTGTGGGTCCGTTTGCAACGATCACGGGGTTATCGATCAATCCGTATCTCCGTGATTCTGAGATTCTGTCGGCTTACGTAATCCGTCGGTTCGCTTCAGGCGCGTACCGATGTCGTTGGAATTCTTGTGAACCGGGTACTGACGTTCAATCGTCGCTTGTTAACACTGAGCTGTGTGCGGGGACCTCTCGGCAATTTTCGATGCCTACAGCGTCGTACAAACGCCACTCGTGCCTGTGCTTTTTCTTGCAACAAAGACAAGAAGGAAAGAAAAAAATGATGTCTAAAGAATCTCCAAGAACCAGTCAAGTTTGGATTCCCAAATCCGAACTTGTGCAAAAATCAGATCGATGGGATACATCCTTCAACCGAGACACTTGTAAATGTCTCAACCAAGAGAACTTCACCCGAGACACACATATGTGTCTCGGGCAAAGAGGTTGTGTCCAAGACACTTGAAATTGTCTCGGACAAAGGAGCTGTATCCGAGACACACATAAGTGTCTCAGCCAAAGGGAATCTTCTAGCGCCTCTCCTTCGACTCCATGGACATCCATTCCTGGTCCGTCTATTGCAACCATATCTGCTACATCACCATTAAAGCCATGGGTCAGTCCCGACCTGTCAAAATTCAAGATCACAATGGCAGATCGCCTCTGTCCTTTACCTGATGATCGAGGCAAAGTTCCAGTCAAAGAACACTTGGGTCCGGTGAATGAACCCCGAGTAAATTCTTACGCTGGGGGTCGTAAATATCCACCTATCTGGACAAAACAATCCTAGGAGGAGAAAACTCCGATTTTCTCTCATTTGGGGCCTGTAAATACTCCATATCCGCAAGGAGGTGGATCCAAACATATAACCTTGGATCGCTTAGAAGCGACGACAAGTTGTCCTGGGTATGTCAACAAGGTTCAAACACAAAAACAGAATATAGATTGCTCTGGTCACCATACTGATGAGTTGTACTATCAAATTAAGGATGGAAACAAATCACGGAAGAAGACTGTTCGAGAAATAAGTCCATATTGTGTATGTGAGAGGCTTATTAAAGCAATATTGTCTGAATATAGTTGCTCTAAAGCTGTTCCGCAAAGAGTTTCTGTATTCCAGAGACTTTCCACCGAAACGTTAAAGCCCAAGTCGAGACATTTCCGTAAGAAGCCTGCTGTTCAAGAGGATGAATTCCCTAAAGTCACCATCAATATGACAGACAAAAGAGGATAACGTGCCACCAATTCCGATCCTGATTTCTCTCCATGAGGAAGGGTTGGCCGAGGTCTTTCTCAAAAGATGTCACAATTATAGTTAAGAGCCAACCGTCCGAGAGATTATAAGAGGATGCATGAAGGAATATCTTTAGAAGATGGACTTTTAGATACTAACTCTGCACTTGCTTCCGATGATATAATGTCTAGTGTAGGACAAGTCAGGGAATCATTCACAATTACACCTAATCAGTTAGCCCAGATGTTGCAAGAAGCTTTGGCTAAGCAACGAGAAGAGATCAGAGCTGAAATAAAAATAGAGATGGAGTTGACAATGTAACAAATGAGGGATTTACAGGCTCAACAACATCTACAACAACCGAAATTAAGTCAAAAGGCTGAGTCTAGCCGGCGTAATACTATACATGTTTGGATAACTGAAGTTGATAGTGACCAAGAGGTGGATGAAACTATCTTTGCTGATCCTCCTCCTAATAAAGATAATTCTGAGGGTGGTCCGGCCAAGTCACCTATCCAACCCTCTCAAACTCACCCGAAGAAGAATACAGATGAGGACAAGAAAATGAAGGAGCTTAAAAACAAAGTCAATGCTTTGATGACGGCTCAAGAAGTGAAGAAAACGGGTATTCCGTGCCCGTATCCAAGGGAGTATGATTCAATTCCCTACCCCCTAAAATTCAGTTTGATTAACTTTACTCCTTTTGATGGTAAGGGTTCACCCACTCAATACTTGATATATTTCAAGTCTCATTTGGGTGTAATCTTCGGAAATGAGGCTTTGAGGGTTTGGTCATTCATTGACACCCTTCGTGGAGCCGTATTCGATTGATACCGGCATCTCAAGCCTAGAAGTATCAATAGTTGGGAGGATATGGAAAGTTTATTCCTTACCAATTTCTTCGACGATGATACCGAGGTATCGATTGGTACTTTGTTGGATGAGAAACGGAAAGATGAGGAATCAATTGATATCTTCGTTAAACGGTTTCAAAACAATGTGGCAAATTGCCGGGATCTGCTCACCAAAGAGTTCATCCTTCAGACATGCCACAACAACCTTTCTTTGGATGTCTTAGAAGTCATGGGGGTTGTGCCTTCTAAGACTTGGAAAGAATTAAAAGTGCAAGGTGAACAGACTGAATGTTTTCTCAAGAGAAAGAAGCTTAAGAGAGGTCAACCGTCAGCTAATCCTCAAAAGCAGAATTTTAATCCTCGAGGTAGAGGAAAGGGGTCTGCAGCTGCTATTGATGCTCACCAAACGTCACAACAATCGCAACAACAACAATCACAACAGTCACCTTTCTAGCTACCACACCAATCACAGCAGTCTCAAAGGCAGCCCAAGACTTCGGAACCTAGATTTTCGAAAGAATATTCTTTCAGGGACGATGAAGTACCGGTTATATTTAAATACCTTTTGGGCAACAACAATCAAACTTCCACCGGTCATAAATCAGGAAGAAGCTAAAGAAGACTACAGACCCAAAATACTGCGCATATCACAGAAGGGTCCATCATCCTACCAAGGCGTGTTATGTCTTAAAAGACAAAATACAAACTTTGATCGACGTTGGTATTGTGACCGCGAAACCGAAAGAAAAGAAAGTAGGCACAATGCAGTATCCATTAGTTTCGATTCAGTTCCTTTGTCATGGTTTCAAGCCGAGCCTGTGTCGAAGGTTAAAATACAAATTGTCGACGTTGACCCTTATGGACAACGTCAAAAGGGACTTGTGTCACATACAGCTCCAAATGGCAAAATCCTCTGAGTCCATCCCAATTTGCTTGAAGATGAACAATGGACGACATCCTCATCAAAGAAGAAGTTGAAAAGGCAAAGGAAAGGAGAAGTCATGTTACGGAGCCTCGGCAATTCCTGAAGAAAATGATGAAGAAATTCTAACTTTATCGCTTTCTAAAGAAGAACATGAAGCCTTTGCTACCAGGAGTGGAAATGAATATTGCTTCAACTATCCAAGTGCATCCGAACAACTAGCTGAGCAGGGGGTGGTAAAGACCACACCTTCTAAAACCTTAACCGAGTTGGGGGTGGTTGTAGCTCCCCCTATACCGGCTGAAAAACCTCAACAGTTGGCTAAGCAAAAGAGAAAGGACCCCAGCACAAAGAAGTTCAAATTTCGAAGCAGTCTCGTTTCAGTCAGCCGATTGGGAGAGATAAAGTGGAAAGTTCAAACGCTCCGTACCGCTTCGATGTCATAGCTCAATTAGCTAATATCCCAACAAGGATCACTCTATACGAGTTGTTGTGCCTTTTAAAAGATACGATGGAAGCTTTACAAGAAGCTTTGGTTGATTGTGATGTGTTTTTCACTCAGATTATGCCAGCCCTTGAAGAACCGGAGTCATAAGTTCAATACTGTAATTTGGCGGCCACGAAATTTCCTTGCATTGCTTTTACCAAAGAGGATATGCAAGTGAAGAACTCGAAGCATGATAGGCCTTTGTATTTCACCGGATATATTGTCTTAAGCGCTGTCAACTGGATCCAAGTCGATCCGAGTTCCGATGTTAGTATCATGCCACTTTGGTTGATGTACCACCTTGGAATTCCTGCTAGCAAATTAGCCTCCACAGGAACCGTTATCTACGGATTCAACAACAGTGGGTCCAGGCCATTGGGAAAGATCTGGGTGAAGTGTCAACTCGAAGATTTGAAGTCGGAGGTCACGCGTTATGTGATTGATGCAGAGACTTCTTATAACTTGTTGTTGGGTATCCCTTGGATCCATAATAATGTTATAGTTCCTTCCAC